AATAAATTTATAAAAAAAAAATAGAGAATTCAGGATTTCATCACAAGTGGACAGTATGCCTTCATTTTTCTTTCTTAAAAAAATTTTTATACAATTTTTAAAGGTTACTTTCCGCTTACAGTTACTACAGAATATTGACTATATTCCCTGTGTTCCACAATACCTCCTTGAACCTGTCTTACACCCAGTAGTTTGTACCTCCCGCTCCCCTACCCTTATGTTGCTCCTCTCCCCACTGGTAACCACTAGTTCTCTGTATCTGTAAGTCTGCTTCTTTCTTGTTGTATTCACTAAATTTGTTGTATTTTTTAGACTTCACATATAAGTGATTTTCTCTTGACTTATTTCTTCACTTAGCATAATGCCCTCCAAATCCATCCACGTTGCTGCAAATGGTAAACTTTCATTCTTTTTTATGGCTGAGTAGTATTCCATTGTATATATATATACACCACCTATTCTTTATCCATTCATATGTTGATGGACACTTAGGTTTTTTCCATGTCTTGGCAATTGTAAATAATGCTGCTGTGAACATTGGGGTGCATGTATCTTTTCAAATTCATTTTTGTTTTTCTCAGATGTATACCCAGTAGTGGAATTGCTGGGTCATATGGTAGTTCTATTTTTAGCTTTTTGAGAAACCTCCATGCTGATTTCCACAGTGGCTGCACGAATTTACATTCCTACCAACAGTGTACGAGGGTTCGCTTTTCCCCACATCCTTGCCAACATTTGTTATTTGTGTTCTTTTTGATGATAGCCGTTCTGTGACAGGTGTGAGATCATTGTGGTTTTGATTTGCATTTCCCTGATGATTAGTGATGTTGAGCAGCTTTTCCTGTGCCTGTTGGCCATCTGCCTTTCTTCTTTGGAAAAATGTCTATTCTTCTGCCCATTTTAAAAATTGGGTTGTTTGTTTTTTTGATGTTAAGTTGTATGAGCTGTTTATATATGTTAGATATTAATCCCTTATTCGTCATATCATTTGCAAATATTTTCTCCCATCTACTAGACTGTCTTTGTTTTGTCAGTGGTGTCCTTTGTTGTGCAAAAGCTTTTAAGTGTAATTAGGTCCCCTTTGTTTGTCTTCACTTTTATTCCCTTTAGGAGATGGATCCAAAAAAATATTGCTTCAATTTATGTCAAAGAGTGTTCTGCCTATGTTTTCCTCTAGGAGTTTTATAGTATCCATTCTTACATTTAGGTCTTTAAGCCATTCTGAGTTTATTTTTGTATGTGTGTTAGAGAATGTTCTGATTTCATTCTTTTACATGTAGGTGTACAGCATCACTTATTGAAGAAACTGTCTTTTCTCCATTGTATATTTTTGCCTCCTTTGTCATAGATACTGTAGATTAATTGACCATAAGTGTATGGGTTTATTTCTGGTTTTTCTATCCTGTTCTGTTGATCTGTATGTCTGCTTTTGTGTCAGTACAAAATCATACTGTTTTGATTACTGTAGCTTTGTAATATAATCTGAAGTCAGGGAGTGTGACTCCTCCATCTCTGTTCTTCTTTCTCAAGATTGTTTGGCTATTCGGGGTCTTTTGTGTTTCCATATACATTTTAAAATTATTTGTTCTAGTTCTGTGAAAAATGCCATTGGTAGTTTGATAGGGATTGCAGTGAATCTGTAGATTGCCTTGGGTAGTATAGTCATTTTAACAATATTGATTCTTCCAGTCCAAAAACACGGTATGTCTTTCCATCTGTCTGTGTTGTCTTCAATTTCTTTCGTCAGCATCTTAATAGTTTTTGGAATACAGGTCTTTTGCCTCCTTAGGTATGTTTATTCCTAGGTGTTTTATTCTTTTTGATGCAATGGTAAATGAGATTGTCTCCTTAATTTCTGTTTCTGATAATTGTTGTTAGTGTATAGAAATGCAACAGATTTCTGTGTATTAATTTTCTTTAATTAATTAATTAATTTATTTTTGGCTGCAGTGGGTGTTTGTTGCTGCATGCGGGCTTTCTCTAGTTGCGGCGAGTGGAGGCTACTCTTAGTTGTGGTGTGCAGGCTTCTCATTGTGGTGGCTTCTCTTGTTGCGGAGCGTGGGCTCTAGGCGCGCGGGCTTCAGTAGTTGTGGCACATGGGCTCAGTAGTTGTGGCTTGCAGGCTCTAGAGAGCAGGCTCAGTAGTTGTGGCACATGGGCTTAGTTGCTCCGTGGCATGTGGGATCTGACCGGACCAGGGCTTGAACCCATGTCCCCTACATTGGCAGGTGGATTCTTAACCACTGTGCCACCAGGGAAGTCCCCAGTATATTAATTTTTGTATCCTGAAACATTACTGAATTCATTGATGAGCTCTTGTAGTTTTCTGGTACCATCTTTAGGATTTTCTATGTATAGTGTCATGTCATCTGCAAACAGTGACAGTTTTACTTCTTCCTTTCCAATTTGGATTCCTTTATTTCTTTTTCTTTGATTGCTTGGCTAGGACTTCCAAAACTGTGTTGAATAAAAGTGACGAGAGATCCTTGTCTTGTTCCTGATCTCAGAGTGAGTGCTTTCAGCTTTTCACTGTTGAGTATGACGTTAGCTGTGGGTTTGTCATATGCCTTCATTTTTCAAAAAACGGTGCTCAGGTCTGTTCTGGTTAAGGGAACTAAACTATCAAAGTTTTGCAAACTTAGGCACATGTGGAGTCCACTTTTTATTTAGTCTCCTAGTGTACTTGAATGACTTACAGAAATGTTTTAAAAACATTATATTTTTAACTATTTACAATTTATTGTTGAAACTGTGTTTGGCAATATGCCTTCAAATATTCTGAAGTTGTTATATTCTTGTCAGGATCCCTGAGATTTTTTTTTAACCCCAATTATCTCCTTGATACCCATATTCACATAGCTCACTAGAGCAGGGAGAGGCACCTGCTAGAGCAGGGAGAGGCACTGGTCTTTGACTAAAGCGTGTGTTTCGAAGATTCTAATCAAAGGATAGGAGAGATTGGTGGTAGGAAAAATGACCACAGCTCAACTCTGACCAAGGACGATGTACTCTTTAGCCTCCTCTGACCTTGTGAAGCGAGGGAACAAGCAAGTTCTCTACTTTGTGTCTTACTTGTGTTTGTACCTTTTATTGCTGAGTCACCATAAATTCATGTGACTTCACACATTTTCTCTCCCCTTTGATATGTAACGAAAGACACCATTCATTACTCACTTCAGATGCAGTGGAAGACCCAGCATATAGAAATGTCAGTTATTGTTTTAAAAAAAGCCTCAAAAGACTGAGTAAGCTTTGAATTTTCTGTTCAGAGAGTGGGGTTAGTAATTAGGAAGATTCACATGGCTCCTGATAAAATAATTTTACCCACTTGCTCAGAAAACCGGCAAGGTTTTCACTTGCATAAATCGTTTTTCTTTTTTTTTTTGAAAAAGTCATTATTCTTTACCCTTACAGAAACAACTTTTACCTGAAAAATCTTGTAAGCATTTTTTTTCCCCCAGAGAGAAAAACAGGCTGTTTTTGCCAAGTTCCTGTAGTGACTGGTTGGCAAAGGTGTGAGTGAAATCTAGACTTTCTACTTTCTTCTCTCTGTCCTTTTATATTGATGAACAATTTTTAGGCCTCCACAGGATATGTAATTATTTGTCAGTGGAGGAATGAGCTACAGCTCAAGCAAATACTCCGGGCACATGGTTGCTTGACGCTGAAATTCTGGCTTCCTTAGTGTCATTTAGGTCTTATGCTTCAGGAATTAATTTTTTAAAACATAAAATCTCTGAAGATAAAACTGACTTTTTGTACGATAAAAGATCTTGAAAGGATATATCTTAATCTTTATGGCAGAGATTGTCTTTAAGGTGTGCTTGGTATGAAATCACAAAGAGAAAAGTCTTTTGAGTCGTTGGGTCTTTGGGGATTATGTTATGAACACAGAATATAAGCTTGCTTCTTAAAATCCACTAAAACCACCTCCCTTTACTGTATGTATTGATCTTTGACTTGAATTGAAAAGGGGTTCTTTTCCCTCTATGTCATTAAAAAGACATTGGACCTATGGGTATTGGGTCTTAAATTGGATTTTCTTACAAAGAGAAAAGGAAAAATTGGCTTTGGGTGTTAGGGCATAACAAAAACTAGGCCCTTCCTTATGAAAATTGAATTTGTGCCTGTTTTGTGTTAGTACCGAGGCTGTACATCATCCAGATGATTGCACAGATGCTTATTCATGCGGTTGAGGACTCATCTCGGTCTGTGGCTTCTTTGAGGGATCTTGTCAGAAGCTAATGATGAGAGGGTGTAGCAGTAGTGCCGACAGTAGCACACGAGACCCTTTTGTTCATTCTCTTGATCATGACTTTACATTAGGAATCAAAGGCTTTAGAAGCTCAGTGGAAAGAAGCCCGTGTGTTGCCCTGATTATGATACTGTCATGGGTTGCTTACGCCTTGATTAAAACCTCCTAGCTGTGTAGTCAATACTATTCAACTCTTGGGAAATATAAGACTGAGGAATAAATTGTTAGTTGTCATTAGAGAAAATAATGATGTTGTGATTAGAAGAAAGGTTGTATAAGATAATTACAGTCTTGTTCTCCTCATCCCATCATTTATTTTGGAAGACTTGACGCACTGCCAAGACGCACTGCCATGAAATTAGAATAACTGCATAATGTTCTGGTGGCAGCTTCCCGGAGAAGACCTTTGGCTTTGGAGTGGGGGCACCAGCCTGGGTTTGACTTGCCACGTGTGGCTGTGTGGCTGTGAGCTCCTTACTTAAGCTTGCAGGATGTTGGGCGCGCGAATCCTCTAGCGTAGCCCCAGCGTGGAAGAGGTGCTGAGTAAATACTTTTCCCCTTCTTGTCTCTGTGTAAGTTGCCCATTTCCCTCTCCTGGTCCCAGATTCCCAGTGGGATGCTCCTTCAGGCTGATGGAATACGCCGTGTGCCGATGGGGAGAGCATGGCGTTGGCTTCTGTGGATGCGGGTCCTGTGCCGTGCCAGCCACTGCGGGTTCCAAATAACACTCCTTCCTTGCCCGCAGGTGCCTGAGATCATCAGCTCCATCCGGCAGGCCGGGAAGATCGCCCGCCAGGACGAGCTCCGCTGCCCTTCCGAGTTCGATGACACTTTCGCCAAGAAGTTCGAGGTGCTGTTCTGCGGCCGCGTGGCGGTGGCGCACAGGAAGGCCCCGCCCGCCCTGATCGATGAGTGCATCGAGGGCTTCAGCCACGTGAGCGGCGGCGGCTTCTCCTCGGATCAGCTCCGGGCTGCGCCGCAGCCACCGGGGGACCGGGAGCGGGGCCCACGGCCGATGCGCAAGTCCTTCTCCCAGCCCGGGCTGCGCTCCTTGGCCTTCAGGAAGGAGTTTCAGGACGCAGGCCTGCGGAGTAGTAGTTTTTTCAGCTCCTTTGAGGAGAACGACATCGAGAACCACCTGATTAGTGGACACAATATTGTGCAGCCAACGGATATTGAGGAAAATCGAACTATGCTCTTCACGGTAAAATATTATCAAAGCCTCATGCGCATCCCCAGTCTGATCTGTGTGTTTAAAAGAAAATCTGCTTTATCACGCGAAGATTCTTTGTGAATTGCTTTTGGATTTATGTGTGAATCCATATGTTTTTATACTGAATAATTCTTTTCTCAAGATAAAATCCTTATTTAGTCCCTAATTAGCCTTTGGAATTCAGCAGGGGGTCACAAAAGAGACTCTTATCTTATATCCTCTATGACTTTTATCCCCCTCCCCCATGGTTGTGAAGACACCTTTTCAATGTGGAAAGAAGAGTTAATATGTGTAAAAGAGGCCCCCAAAGGAGATTTTAAAAATGGATATTAATTTCAAGTAATGTATTTCAACAAAATCTTTTTGGAAAATACCCCTTCTTTACTATTTTTACTAATTTGTAAAATACTTACCCTTTGTTATCTGGATAATTAGATTTGGGGATAACATGATATTTGAAATTGATACCCAAGCTGAAATATTAGTTTAGCCAATTGCTCACTCACTTTTTCCTAGAAATGGTTTGGTAAACTGACAGCCAACTGCCAGAAAAGGCATGGGCAGGGAAGCTGTCCCTTGCAGTCGCTGCTCCTGGGTTCCATGCTGATCTCGGCTCTTCTGGTCAGGCTGCCCTCCCTGGGAGTCCTCTGGGTCTGAGCCGATGGGACTCAGCTGGCCCAGTAGCAAGCTGGTCTCTGACAATATAGGGAGTGGATTGTTCCTCGGCCTCCTCTGTCTCTTCTTTGGCCTAAGGCTGACTAGAGAGAGCAACACGAGCTTAAATGTAAAGTCTTGGCGTCTGTGCCTAATTCGGGGCAGAGGATGGCCCAGGAGTGAGGAAGCTGGCTGTGTGGATGTATGCAGGTTCAAGATCAAGATGGGGTGTCAGAGGCCCGATTTCTTCCTCTTTTCATGGTTGACCTAGTATACTGAAAAGAGTGCTACGTTGGCAGTTAGTCTGGTGCTGTAATGTGTGATATATATTTTAAAAAAACAAAACAAAGCAAAAACCCTCTTGGTGTCATTGGGAAAGCTGCTCAGTGCATTTATTTTCAAGTACTTATTATGTGACTGCTGTATACAGGGTCCTGTGTAATACGTTAGAAATACAGCAGTGAACAAGACAGGCATGATCTCTGCCCACGTGGAATTTAGATTCCAATGAGAGACTGGCGATTGTACAGGTAATTGTCTCACTAAAATTGTGATAAATGCCGTAAAGGAGAAGTAAAGGATGCTGTGAGGGCATCTGGGGAATCAGGGAAGACTTTCTTGAGGAAGTGATTTTCACTGAGCAGGTTTCATTGTGGCCAGCTGGGTTCAGGGAGCAGCAAGGTGAGGGAGGGGTGCTGCACAGTTAACAGTGTGGTTATTGCAACACAGTCCCCTGCTGTAATGGAGATCTGTTACGCTGACCCAGGTATGTAAGACAGTGTTAATTTGTCCTAACGCTCTAGCTTTTTTAGAAAGTCAGGTAAGCAGTAGTGAATATCTAACACAGTATGCATTCAACAAATGGTAGATTGTTTTAACAATAATTTAAGAAGACTTTTCTAATCATTAGGAAGTGTTCTAGAAATCTTGAAAGAGAAGCTCCTGTTTCCTGGGAGGTTCACTTATGTAGAAACCTCTCTTCCTTACAAAGGGGGGATGTGGGAACCTGAGGCTTAGTTGCCAACTTCTGTATATTTGGTCCTTTCACCTCAAGACTGCTGCCTGATGTAGGTGAACACACTGATGGTTGTCTGTGCTACCTGAAATCTGTAGGATAGATTGTGACCTTGAAGTGATTTTCTACATGAGATGGTCAGAATTCTATAGGAGCTTGACCCATTGAGTCTCTATTTTCATAGGTTATGAAATGAGAAAGTTCGTGTATAAATCTGAATTCAGTGTTCATAAAAAGCTAGTTTCTTTTTTTGTTTGTCTTTTAAGATTGGTCAGTCTGAAGTTTACCTCATCAGTCCTGACACCAAAAAAATAGCGTTGGAGAAAAATTTTAAGGAGATATCCTTTTGCTCTCAGGTAAATGGAGATGGGTTATCAGCTCAATTGCCATTTGATTTTTTAATGAATACTTTTACCGTCATTCAGCAGAAGTGGTTACGGTCACAAGATGTATGCTTTCTAAGTACTGGGTTTGTGATCTTGCATTTCCTTTTGTGTATTAAGGCAAACTATAAATATAATTTTGAAATTAAGAATTTTGCTTTTAGCAACCATAACCTACTGGAGAAAATAGGTCTCCTTTTCTTTTTTTTCAGGCATTGGTAGTAATGTTCCACAGTCATGATTTCCAGGTGTGTGTGTGTGTGTGTGTGTGTGTGTGCGTGCGTGCATATTTATATATACATTCACACACAGTTAATATTTTTAAATAGATACTTATTTTTACTTTATAAAAATTCATAACTTTTGAGGTACCAAGATCATTATTTCTTCTTCCTTAAAATATAATAAATAGTGACTATTTTGAGGCTGTTTTCCTCAGAGTACAGTATCTGCTTGAGTTCTTACTTGCACATCTCCTGGGTGTGTTTCATAGAGAGATTTTGGAGAATCTGTTAATTATAATGAGCTATGCCAATTTTACTCAAGATACTTTTTGTCTTGATTTGCTGCTATTTGTATTGTAATGTTCGTATTAAATATCTGCTTTTTCATGTGATAGTTTAATTATTTCCTAAAGGGTACAGTTTACAAGTTTACATGATCACCTGCCCTTCAAGCTGTCAGCACTCATATCTCTGCCTGCTGGTGCTTTCAGGAGATGCTGCATATTAATGTTTATGGGTGATGTCTAATCTGTATTAAGGTGCCTCTTAGCTGATACTTTCAAAACAAGCGTACATATTAATATTTATTAAAAAGAGCTCTTAGGAAACTATGGTAGAACTTTGGCCTTCATATCTTATGTTTAAAAGCGTCTCTCTTCTCTTGTATGTATAATTTTTGACTCATTCTTCCTACCAGTTTACTTCAGTATTTACATATTTGTTATTTTAGTAGTACGTATGTTTTAAATCTTTTAAACTTTGTGTCTGCATGTGTTTGCGTATGTGTGCATATGTGTTTGTATGTTAATCTCTCGTCTGCTAATTCCTTGATACTGAAGAAGAATTCTCATTTTTTTGTGTCAGCTTTTCTCCACTTCCTTTCACTACTAAAATGAGCAGTAAAAACTCCAGTTTTCAGATCCTACTTCTCTTATTGTGGGGATAATCAGAGTAACATTTTAGTAGAACTTCATATTTGAGAGATGTTTTTAGACATTTAAAATATCTGAGAAAATAATACTTTTATAATGTCCTTTAAAATTGTGCTGTGTGACTCTTCAGTTGCATGTCTGGCAGTGGTGCCTTTTCTGGATATAACTGACCATTCCTTGTTCTTGTCCCTGCCTTCAACAGGGTATTAGACATGTGGACCACTTTGGGTTTATCTGCCGAGAGTCTTCGGGAGGTGGAGGCTTTCATTTCGTCTGTTACGTGTTTCAGTGCACAAATGAAGCTCTGGTAAGTGAGAAGGGGCCGTTCTTAAAGTCTCCTTTACAAGGGATTTCAGCCTCACTGATATCTTTACTTAGCAAAGCCATATGACCTCATTGACATATTATTTGGCTTTAATTATTCTTTCGTCACTATTTGATAACCAGCTAGTACATACCTGAGACTTAATTCGATGTGCATTTTCAATTTTCATCATTCTTAAAGGCCTGCTCACTTTCACCCTCTGCTTTAGCATTTTTCAAATGTCATTTTGGACTTTTGATCAGAAGAGTTGGTTTTCATTCAGTATTTAATTTGTGTCTAGTTTTTACCTTATCTCCTTGAAGAGCTTTGAGCATTTGTAGTGTTTCTAGGCTACGTGTAATCCTAGCAGGTATTATGATTATTATTCATTAACCTGTGACTAATAGTCCAGAAGAACCTTAAAGTACTGAGTCTTTCCACAGAGTCCTGAAATCTCTGCCCAGCTTTTTTTTTTAATGCATTTATTTATTTATTTTTGGCTGCGCTGGGTCTTTGTTGCTGCGCACGGGCTTTCTCTAGTTGCGGTGAGCGGGGGCTACTCTTCATTGCAGTGCGCAGGCTTTCTCATTGTGGTGGCTTCTCTTGTTGCGGAGCACGGGATCTAGGCGTGTGGGCTTCAGTAGTTGTGGCTCGCGGGCTGAGTAGTTGTGGCTCACAGGCTCTAGAGCGCAGACTCAGTAGTCCTGGTGCACGGGCTTAGTTGCTCCGTGGCATGTGGGATCTTCCCAGACCAGGGCTTGAACCCGTGTCCCCTGCATTGGCAGGCGGATTCTTAACCACTGCTCCACCAGGGAAGTCCCATCTGCCCAGCTCATTTTAAATGGACTTTTTGATGACTATAGTCTCCTCTCTTCGATCAGGTGGATGAGATCATGATGACCCTGAAGCAGGCCTTCACAGTGGCTGCGGTGCAGCAGACAGCGAAGGCGACAGCCCAGCTGTGTGAGGGCTGCCCCCTGCAGGGCCTGCACAAGCTCTGTGAGCGGATTGAGGGTGAGCCGGGGTGGGAGGGCGGCAGGGTGGGCGGGGGGCTGTTAAGGGTCCTGGGCAAATTCGTTGGAAGGTTCTGCCCCGTGGAGGCTTGTGTTAGTTACAGGGCTCATAGGTGGATGTCTTCTGTATGTCAGGCACTGTGCCTAGACCATCTCCCCTCAAGGGGCTCTGAGGGCAGTGGAGGAGTAAGGGGACCACAGGGAACAAGACCAGTTGCATTGTTAGCAAGGTGGTGTGAGTGGTCAGTCACTTCAGCTACCATGGAGGGGTCTCGTAACAAGAGAGCTAAGAATTTCCACAGGGTAAGTCAATGACAGCGTCATCGCCGGAACAGTTTTAGTGGAGGGAGCAGCCGTAAGGTAGGTTGCAGCTGAGGAGCCCATGAGAAAGCGCACAGGAAGTGATGCTGCGAGTATGGACTACGATTCCTAGAAATGTGGCTTAGGGAGAAACTGCAGTACATGTTCCGGTTAGCATACTTAAGATGTGCCTGGCACTGTACTAAGTGTTTTCTTTAACATGTATTATCATCCACTTAATCCTCACCACCTCTGGAAGGAAAAGGGATTATTTGCACATTTCAGGGATAAGCAAACTTAGTTTCTGGGATTTGGGGATGATAACCATCCTGATGGGTTTGAAGTCGTATCTGATTTCCCTTTTGAAAGACAAATTGACATCATCTTAAGGTCTTTGAAGTTTCATTTGCTGGCATTTCAGTGCTCTTTAAAATGAATCAAAATGATTACCATTTTCAACTGTGTTTTCCTAGCTGTTACTCCTTGCTGACATTATACAAAATATATTTGGGAACAAGAAAACGTGTGCTTTAACAAGAGATCCCATCTGAGAGGATCACTAACCCTTTCCTTAGTGGTTGTCAAGATAAGGTAAATGACAGAAATGTCTCTTATGAGCTTATTAAGAAGCCAACAATGACTTTGGCCTTGAAGATAAAGCAGATCCTGATCTGCAGGAACTGGAAGGGTTCCAGAGTTCCACTTGATACATCTTTCTTTGGTCTGGCTTAGCTTTCAGAAAAATATAGCTGAAAAGTTTAATTGTGGTGGGGATTTTGCTGCTATCGTTTCGGAATTATCATTTCATTTATCTTTTTACTGGATAAAATCCAAGCAAAGCAGAAAGCTATGCTAATGTAAAAACATCCAATAAATAGCACAATTAGAAGGCTAGTGAGGATTATATTTTGCCTACATGATGGGAAGCATTTCTAAAGTATAGACGGCACATTATTAGAGCCATCCTTAGTTGGGGAGATGCTGATTATTTTATGAACAGTTCAAGGTTCTTGCTTTTTGCTATATTGCATCCCTAATAAGTAGAATGAAGTCATTTATTAAAGCTCATTGTATGTTCCCATAGGAGTAGTTCTAATAGGAAGTTATGATCTGGCGAGGAACTCCATAAACTGTGGAGAGGACCAATGACATGGCAACAAAAAGAAAGACTTAAAGACTTTTTTTTTTTTTTTAATATATTTATTTAGGCTGAGTTGGGTCTTCGTTGCTGTGCGCAGGCTTTCTTTATTTGCGGTGAGCAGGGGCTACTCTTCGTTGCAGTGTGAGGGCTTCTCATTGTGGTGGCTTCTCCACGGGCTCTAGGCGCGTGGGCTTCAGTAGTTGTGGCGCGCAGGCTCAGTAGTTGTGGCTCGGGGGCTTAGCTGCTCCGCGGCCTGTGGGATCTTCCCAGACCAGGGCTCGAACCCATGTCCCCTGCATTGGCAGGTGGATTCTTAACCACCGTGCCACCAGGGAAGTCCCAAGACTGTTTTCTTAATAAATTGATATAGTCAGTATGCTCTGGACTCTGTAAAATAGAATAAATACACTGTACATATGGGTGCTGTTGGACACTTACAACATGTAAGGGGTGCAGCTGTGCTGATTCTGTGTTTGAACTATGTACAACTGCTAGTATTTATATAGTGTTTTGCTTATTTTAAAGTTTAGAGGAGCATTTTGGGAATTCTTGGAATGAATTATACTTTCACTAAAAGGAAAAAAAAAAGTTTTACTGAGGTTTCCTTTTGCTGTCTAAGTAAATTTGCCTTCAGCAAAGCAAAGGCACTCATCAGAGCTCCCTTTAATAAGAGCCTTTTCAACCAGACATCATGAAGGCGGGCTCACTTGCCTCGCTTCTCCCCTCTAAAACCTTTTGGCATCACCTGGGGAGTGCCCCCTTCTTGCTGCAGAAACTCCCGTTCACCCCACCCCGCCCCCGCCAAGGCTGAAGGTAGTGAGAAGCCCTGTAGAGGGTGCACAGTGGAGAGCAGGTGCTGGGACCACAAAGACCACCTCTGATTTGAGATGGGGCAGGAAGAACCTAATGAATTGAGGCACCCTGAAGACAAGGATAGAACTGTCTAAGGATCTCTCCAGACCTGCTGAATATGAAGAATAGTCTGTATGATTTCACCTGAGATTGTTAGAAGTATATATAATTAGTCTGACTCTTCTTGGGGTTTTTCTCCACATGTGAATGTCTCATCAAGCAGTACAGTGTTTCCAAGAGAGGATGTTTGCACTGTGTCATTGACATCCATATGCAGGGAGGATTTTTATTTAATGATTTCTGAGTGCTAATTTTACTCGTAAATTTAAACACTGTTTTGATTCAACATGTAAGTAGTTAGTGCAGTAAAGGCATCTCTGTTTGCCTGGCTTGTATGACCTGACAGCTTGCCTGAGGAGTACCTGAACTGTGCTCTGATAAAATTCATCTGTCCTTTCTGCACTTTTACTGACCTCTTTTTTTCTGATTGAAGAATAGTTGACTTACAATATTATTAGTTTCAGATGTATAACATAGTGAGTCAGTATTTTTATTTCTTATGTACCATACAATATCATTATGACATTATTGACTGTATTCCCTGTGCTGTACATTACATCCCTGTGACTTATTTATTTTATAACTGGTAGTTTAAATCCCTTGGTACATCTTAATCCCCTTCACCTGTTTCACCCTTCCCCCCCTTCCCCTCCCCCCTGCGACCACTAGTCCTTTGTTAAGTCTGTTTCTGTTTTGTTATATTTGTTTGTTTTTTAGATTCCACGTACAAGTGGAAACATACAGTACTTGTCTTTTTCTGGCTGACTTATTTCACTTAGCACTTCACTTCCGTGTTGAAGGCAGTGGCGTCAGGTGGCTTGACTGCCTGGGTAAAGGAGCAGTGGAGTGTCCTAGGGTGGGCTCTGGGGGCAGACAGATGTGGGTCAGATTCTGACTTTGTCCGTCCCTTAGCTGATAACCTTGGGCAAGACATTTGACTTCACTGTGCCTCAGTTTCTTCATCTATAGACCTTGGAATTGCTTAAAATAGTGCCCACTCCAAGGATTATGTTGAGGATCAGATGAGATTATTTATGGAGTGTTGCATGAAGTGGCACAGCAATCACTTAAGAAATATTGGCTTTTATTTTTATGGTGGCCTCAGGGTTTTCTTGGCCAAAAAAATAAAACGGTGGTGGAAAGAGGAAGGACTTCTGGGAGCTGCAGTGGTTTGAGTAGGGGCAGCGACCTCACCACTGCCTGTTAGGAGGGTGAGGGCCCTGCCTTCTGCTGCAGGGTGCGGGGTGGGCGATGGAGGAGCACTGGCGTTGGGGCAGGCTTGGCTGCCGATTGGCCTCCTGACCTGTCAGTCGCCTGGCTTCTCCGGACCTCAGCAAACTCATCTGTAAAACAGAGGCCTGGTTTCCAAGTCCCTGTTCAGAGCTGTCCCCTCTGGCCATCCTAGTAATGTAGATAAATCTGGCCCAGAGACTTGGCCAAGGCCCTGCCTAGTGGCTCACCCTCAGGAGGAGAAGACGGGGTGGCATGTGGATGGGGACAGGACTGCCCTGGGAATGAAAGTAATCAGCAGCAGTTTTTTTCCCACGATAGTTAGGTCAACAAATCCTTTCATCCCAAATCTTTTCATCATGGGTAGCATTTATCTCTGGCGCCAAGAAAAGGCAAAACAGGGTCTGAGCCATATATGTGTGGAGAAGGAACTTTCTGAAATACCAGATTCTAATGGACATTAAAATTGCAACTTTATTTTAATGACTTTCCCTCAGAATCCTTTGTAATGTTATTTAAGTGGCCATAAGACTATTACTAAGCATGTCGTGGTAAAGGGAAAGTTGTTAGCCACACAAATCACTTTCTTGTGAAAGAGCCTAGCCTAACCTGTAAGAGAAGAATGTTGGTCAGTTTTCAAATGGGGCAGTAGTTGTTTATCCTTAAGGGAGATTGTCTAGTTTACATATAAATACTCCCTGAGAATTTATCGTTTCCTGCGGACAATGTTCTGGCTGTGTGAGGTGTTGGAGTAGTGGCGAAAAAAGGCAATTTGGAACCACACAAAGCTGACAGAGAGTCCAGTATGGGGTCTTTGGGAATTAACTGAGCTCTCTGGGTCTCAGTTTCCGTAACTGTAAAATGGGGCTAATCAAGTCCTCTTTACCAGATTGTTCTGAGTATTAAATGAAATGATACAGGCCTGATGTTTAAGTCAGTGCCTACCACGTGAGGGCTCAATCAAAAAATGTTGCTTAGGGGCTTCCCTGGTGGCGCAGTAATTGAGGGTCTGCCTGCCGATGCAGGGGACGCGGGTTTGTGCCCCGGTCCGGGAGGATCCCACATGCTGCAGAGTGGCTGGGCCCGTGAGCCATGGCCACTGAGCCTGCGCGTCCAGAGCCTGTGCTCCGCGACGGGAGAGGCCACAACAGTGAGAGGCCCGCGTACCACAAAAAAAAAAAAAAAAAAAAAAAAAATGTTGCTTGTTGTCAGGGTCATCATCATCACCGACATTATTGATTAGACTTTCCATAAAACCTCAGAAGCCTGAAGAAGGTGGTTAAGTCATGTAAGAGGGGGGAGTGAGCATGGGAAGTGTTAACTGTACCTCGTAACTGTTACCTAGAGTGTTCTCATGTCTCTTTTTTTCTCTTAATAGGAATGAATTCTTCCAAAACCAAACTAGAACTCCAGAAGCACCTGACAACATTAACTAATCAGGAGCAAGCAACTATTTTTGAGGAGGTTCAGGTACAGTACTGGTTTTAAATTTCCAGAAGGAAGAAAGCAGGCAGCTTCTCTGTGAAATTTTATTTATAAAAAATAGCAAAGCAAACCTGTCAGATCCTCAAGGAAGTGGGCCTGAGTTCCTCTAGGTTTAAGCTTTAACAGCCTCGGGACAGGGGCCAGGCCAGAATTGCAGATTCCTATCAGGGCTTGGTTTTTCACGTGAAAACTACTCTCCCTTAAGGAACTAGAGAAAGGAAATAATAAAGTGGAGAGAGCCTCAGCCCGGGAGACGGGACCTGGATTTTGGTCCCTCTCACCGTTTTGGCCTCTCCCATTGCGGAGCACAGGCTCCGGAGGCGCAGGCTCAGCGGCCATGGCTCACGGGCCCAGCCGCTCCGCGGCATGTGGGATCTTCCCAGACTGGGGCACGAACCTGTGTCCCCTGCGTTGGCAGGCAGACTCTCAACCACTGCGCCACCAGGGAAACCCTCTCTGGAAGACCTCTGCTAGCTCCTTCCCGCTTGGGATTTCAGCCCTAAGTGTGAGAGTCTTAAGGATATAACATTTTGTACATGAAATTGAACATAACTTTTCTTCTTCGCTCTTTTTTTTCAGTTTTGAAAATAAATTTAGGTGTTACCTACTATATGGTATATCAAACCTAAACATAAAAACAAAATACAGAAGAAAACCCAAGCTCATCGGTTTTCTGCATTAAGCCCGGAACCGCACTGTCGTCCTTGCGTTTAGATGCACTTATCTCGGGAAACCACACTGTGTGTGCTGGCATGCCCATAGTCTGTTCATTATGAATCTTTAATGAGCTCATCAAAAATTTCATGTCTGCTTTAGCCGAGGGGCATTTTCTGTGGTTCTGTGGCACTTTCCTAGGGAGGAGAGTACATCAGAACAAAGCATAAGTCTCTAGTGGGGAGGAGAGTGCCAGGGGTTCTGCACATAGAGAAGTCTTTAAACAAAACAAGATGGCTAGCAAGTCTAGACTGTAGGTTCTCTCTCCCTCTTCACTGAGGGAGAGGCTACAGACAGGGCCCGTGATCTGTTTTCTGTTAGAGTGAAAAATTAAAGAATTGTCTTTGTCTTTTTAATCACATGTTCGAGTTCTCCTTCCCTTGATCTTCTGCAGTAGGATTGGCATATGTATGTTTGAAGGAGAGCGTAGGAAGAGTTTTTTAATTTTATAAATAGCTTAGAATGTAACTTTCACAATTTCCAATTGCCTTTCAGTTTTCTTATTTTCTTTTGAATTGACTTGAGACACACTACTTTGTTTTTTCTTAAAGGATCTTTAGCGTTCTAAGTACGCAGTACTCTCAGACAAATTTAATGTGATTTGTACTTGGAATTCATAAATGGATGGACAATTTGCTTCTGATTGTTAATGCATTTGTGATGGGAGCTGGGTCCTTTTTCTTTTTTTTTTTTAAATTTATTTTAATTTATTTTTCGCTGTGTTGGGTCTTCGTTGCTGCGCTCAGGCTTTCTGTAGTTGCGGCAAGCAGGGGCTACTTTTCGTAGCGGTGCGTCGGCTTCTCATTGCAGTGGCTTCTCTTGTTGCAGAGCACAGGCTCTAGGCGCGTGGACTTCAGTAGTTGTGGCACACAGGCTCAGTAGTTGTGGCTCACGGGCTCTAGAGCGCAGGCTCAGTAGTTGTGGCACATGGGCTTAGTTGCTCTGCAGCATGTGAGATCTTCCTGGACCAGGGCTCGAACTCATGTCCCCTACATTGGCAGGTGGATTCTTCTTTTTTTTCTTTTTTTGTGGTACGTGGACCTCTTACTGTTGTGGCCTCACCCGTTGCGGAGCACAGGCTCTGGACGCGCAGGCTCAGCGACCATGGCTCACGGGCCCAGCCGCTCCGCGGCATGTGGGATCCTCCCAGACCGGGGCATGAACCCGTGTCCCCTGCACCGGCAGGCGGACTCTCAACCACTGCGCCTCCAGGGAAGCCCTGGCAGGTGGGTTCTTAACCACTGCGCCACCAGGGAAGCCCAGAGCTGGGTCCTTTTTCATCTGATGCTAGCCCACTTTGCTGTTTTAGTGCCATCAAGTCACTTTGGGGAATATCTTTCTAGCAAGCATAGAAGATGCACCTTCCTCCCCTACTGTGAGTTTGTTTTCTTTCTCATTTAGATAGCACTGTGTAGCTTTCCCCAAAACAGTGTGGTGCATCAGGATAGGTAATACCCCAGATACCCTTCTGCAGCAATGATTAGGTTCCTGATGGATGTGATTTTGAGATTCTCTTTGATCCATGTGAGTGTGAGACACTCAATATAAAAAATGGCAAAGAGACTTTAGAGAAAATCAGTGACAAAAGTTTGTTTTAAAAAAATGGATTCAGTTAATATCCTGGGATCCCTGTGTGGTGTTGTAGAAGGCTCTGTAATTTTTTGATTGGTTTAAAGACCAAAGGGAAGTCATTGTTCATTGGCTTTGAAAAGCCAGCTCGTACTTTGTCCTCCATCATTGTAGGTGTGGCTCTTTTTTGAATAATACAAATTTAACATGGATCTCTTCTTCTGATGGCTTATTGGTAGTCTTATTAAATTATTTACTCAATGACCATTCTTGTTTTTTTATAAAATATTTTATAAACCAAGTCACTAGTTTCTTTTTAGGTAGTAGTTCCTGCTAATGCATTTGAAAATCATGCATTTCAAACAGATCATAAGGAAAAAGGTGGCTTTGCAGTGTCATGATACCTCTTTTAAATAGAATGGTTAATATTTTCCTTTGTATGGTTTTTTTTCCTGGAGAATGATTTGTTTCTGAGGAAATTCTCCAAGGGCAAATTTTTATAAAACAAATGTAATTACTATTGAAATCAATAGTACATGATTGCTTAAATAGTTATTAAAACATATATATTCAGTGTTTTTGTAAATAAATGTTTCATGCAAAAAAAAAAAAAGTGCAACCCAAACAGAACCATAAAGAAAAACAAATCCTTAATTACTGTGCAGATGATGCTGGGGAAGTATCACTGCTGCAAATAAGCCGGCTTTGACTTTGAGCTCTGTGAGGAGAACTTGGGGCCAGATGGGCCTGTGGGTGTGCTAACCCTTCTAAGAGGACTCAAGACACTGCAGAGCCACTTTTTAATTTAGGACCTTGTTGAAGTGTACATTTTTCAAACATGTCTAAGTGGGCGAATGAGAATGTGACCCTTGGGTGGGGTCTGACTCTGTCCAGGTGCTGTCCCCTGCTGGCTGAGTGTGCGGAGTTTACATAGGTCGTCCTCAGGGAGAAGTTGCTTTCAGTCTGAGTTGGGCTAGTAAAGAAACTGTCTCAAAGTCGAATTCTCTTCATTTGAATGCGTGTATTTCAGGGAATGACTTAATTAATACTCAGTAGGTAAATCAAATAGATTTATAGTCAGTAGATGTTGATAACGGATTAAATAATGTGACTTTTCACAAGTTAAAGATAAGTGGTTGGAGGAATTTTTTTTCACTTTGTACAGAATATAGAGCAGCTTAATTGGATTTTCCCATGGTTTTAAAATTATTTCTTGCAAGATTTCATTATACTTTTTAAAAAAGATGTCAGGCTGTAGTCCAGGTGAGCACTGCCATTTTCAGTAGACTCCTCAGAAGACCATAGGCTTTCTCAGCATTCTGGTATTCATTAGGCAGTGTTAGAAATGGATTTCAAATTGCTTTTACAACCAATTTATAGGCCCGCCCTCATAGAAATGAGGTTAAGAAACACGTAACAACGTTGGCTTTGTTGCTTTTAACAGGCAATTAATTGTTTTATATTGTTCTTTTTTTAAAAATGAAATATAACTATAGAAAAGCACACAAATCAGTGGTATATAGTTCAGTGAAATAAAAAAAAATTTTGAGATATAGTTGATTTATAATATTACATAAGTTTCAGGTGTGCAACGTAGTGATTCACAATTTTTAAAGGTTATACTCTATAGTTATTATAAAATATTGGCTGTAGGTGAAGTTTTTTAAATATTTATTTATTTATTTATTTATTTTTGGCTGTGTTGGGTCTTCATTTCTGTGCGAGGGCTTTCTCTAGTTGCGGCAAGCGGGGGCCACTCTTCATCGCGGTGCGCGGGCCTCTCACTATCGTGGCCTCTCTTGTTGTGGAGCACAGGCTCCAGATGCGCAGGCTCAGTAGTTGTGGCTCACGGGCCTAGTTGCTCCACGGCATGTGGGATCTTCCCAGACCAGGGCTCAAACCCGTGTCCCCTGCATTGGCAGGCAGATTCTCAACCACTGCACCACCAGGGAAGCCCTGTCAGTGAATTTTTATAAGATGAATACACCTGTGCAGCAGCACGCAGATTAGGAAATAGAGCGTGTCCAAGTCCCTCCGAACCCCCCCTTGGTCCTGCCCCAGGTGACCACCACCCTGACTCCTGACTCCGTAGGTTAACTTTGAGTAATAAGCAAGTTAATTTTTGACTGCAAAGGGATGTTATCCAACTTCATTCCCCATTATTTTCCTCAGACCTGTCTCTCTGTCATGAATGTTTATAAAGTTAAATCATCTTCAGGAAATAATGATTTGTGCCTTTGCAGGATGGTGAAGTTCCCTGGGAGGCACTCAGGAGATGATACCTTGCTAATCGTTTTCACTAAATAGCAGGGTAGCCCCTAGTCATGTTTCAGTTATTTTAAGAAAGGGTTTATTTCTTGACCTTGTATGACACCACAGACATGGTCTTCTCAGCCTCACTGACTTTCCCCTGTGATGTTTAACGAGCTCCTTGATGCAGTGTCTGGGCAGTAGCTGTGGTAGTACATTGTGCTCAGTTTAGTCTCATTTTCTGTCCATTCAAGTAGTTTCTTTCATGTATATGCTGAGGGAAAGAGAATGTATTAATAATGCTCCTCTCCTGTTACTGTATTCTTAGCCTTTTTTGATATGTTGAAATAAGTGATTATGAAGAATTTCTCCAACAAAAATACAAATTTTCTTGTGAGAGCAGCCCAAAGGTTTGATTGAAGAATAGGAAAGGAAAGAATGGGTCAGCTCTCGGGTGCCTGCTCAGAGGCTTCGTAATTCCTGCCTGCTTCTCTTTCCTGGACTTTAAATATATATATACTTTATTTTTTAGAGTAGTTTTAGTTTCACAGAAAAAGTGGGTGGAAGTACAGAGAGTTCCCATGAAACTTCTCATGCCCTTCCCCCAAGCCAGTTTCCCCTATTAATATCTTGTCTTAATGTGGTACCTTTATTACAATCGATCAGCCAATATTGATACATCTTTAGTGATTAAAGTCTGTAGTTTACATTAGGGTTAACTCTTGGTGTGGTACATTCTGTGGGTTCTGACACATGTTTGATGGCATGTATCCACCATTATAGTATCATACAGAATTGTTTCACTGCCCTAAAGATTCTCTATGCTCCACCTTTTCACTATTCCCCAACCCCCCACCTCTGTTCCAAACCCCAGGCAACCACTGATCTTACTGTCTCCATAGTTTGTCTTTTCCAGAATGTCACATAGTTAGAATCATACTGTTTGTGTAGCCTTTTCAGTTGGGCTTCTTTCCCTTAACAATATGCATTTAAGGTTCCTCCATGTCTTTTTATGGTTTGATAGCTCTTTTTAGTGCTGAGTAATATTTCATTGGATGTACCACAGTTTATCCATTCACCTGTGTAAAGACACCTGGTTGCTTCTAAATTTTAGCAATTATGAATAAAGCTGCTATACACATTCTTGTGCAGGCTTTTGTATGGGCATAGATTTTCAACTCATTCAAGTGAATACTAAGCAGTACGATTGTTGGATCACATGGTGGGAACGTGGTTAGTTTTGTAAGAAGCTGCCAAACTGGCTCCCAAAGTGCTGTAACCATATCATGTTCCCACCAGCAATGAGTGAAAGTTCCTGTTGTCTCTGGGGGCTTTTAGACTCACAGTGTATCTGTAACCGTCCCGAGGTCAGCAAAATTAAGTTAGGATTGTGGTATGTGACTACCGCTTTCCTCTTTTGAAGATCTGATGGAAACTTTCTCTGGAACAACCCACGTGTTGCATAAAACATGTAAAAAATTATAACATCAAGGTTCATGGCTTGGCATCCAGATTGAGAACATTATTCTGACCTTTAAAATATTTAATCTTTAAATCTGAAATTTGAGAGAACAGGAAGTCCTCATTGAAAACAACCTCTTCTAATCATTTACTATCCTTTCCTTGGGTAACAGGAACAACTTATTTAAAATGATCTTTGTCTTTAAGAGAGGAATGTTAGAATGCTTCTAGTCTGTGACAGGAGGGGTAAAATTGTTCCTTAGTCAGCTGGGCTGCCAAGAATGGCATTGACCTGGACTCGGATGCTTGTGTAATTGATCCGTTTATTAGACACCCTGACTTTGATTTAAAGGGCAGGCTAGAGGTTTGGGGTAGGGAGGGAGGGAGGAGCAGGGCAATGGATAACTGTCGTTGTAAAAAAAAGATATTTTTCTAAAGATTATAGACCAGAAACTTTGTTTATCTCCAGAGTAATTCAGTTTTGTTTTCTTCATATTCAGGGAAAATAATTGAATACATTAAATTAGATGGTCTTCTAAACATGAACTCTGGTATTTCAAATCCAAAGAATTTGGGGCTGGAAAAGACCTTGGAGTGTATTTTGTGCATAATCTTCATTTGAACAGACAGAGAAGCTAAGCTTAAATGACAAGCCTTTGGTCTCACTTCTAGGCAGCACCTTGAACTTACATGACCTGATTTCTAGACCAGTGTGCTTTGCCACTAAAGGCATACAAATAATTTTTTAAAAACCAGAGGAAAAAAATTGAGTCCATGCCATGAAATTTTGTGTGCAAGTGCATGCCTTGTGAGGCTTCCAGGAAGTGCTTCATGATGAACATGTTTGACATGTGGAAGGAACCATGGCCCTGGATCCAGTTGCTGGTTTCCTTTCCAGTTGCCTGACCATAAGAGTTTATAAATAAGTAACCATTGTGGCTCTTGACCTCTGGGTGTTTACACAGATTTTTGTCCTTTTCTTATGCTTTTAAGACTGTTTATTAAATATTTTGACTATGTCTCTATCTGATGTGAAATGTTTATTTTAGGTATAAGGACATCAGAGGTCAGAGGCTAAATCTGGCCCACTGGCTTCGTTATCTGTTTCTTTTTAAAAATTATCTCCAGTTGTAGGATCATTGGTGCCCCCTAGTGAGGTGATTGGGTAAAAGCACTAGTTGATGAATGGAAGCTGGTAGCATTTTCAAAGGGATGGGTTAGCAGTTTTGGTGACAATTAAAAATTAATGTAATATATTCTTTTTTTTTTATTAAGAAATTGAGACCAAGAAATGAGCAGCGAGAGAATGAATTGATTGTTTCTTTCCTGAGATGTTTATATGAAGAGAAACAAAAAGTTCACGTCCATATTGGGGAGATAAAGCAGGTATGGCATTTTTCTCTCTTCTTAAAATTTTACCAGGACACTGTGTAAAGCAGAGTCCTGAGGATTTTCTGAAGCTCTGAAACTTCTTTTTCTCCCTGAATTTTATTTTCATTTGTTAAACATGTAGGGGAAATTGGGGAATATTTAGATTGTGCTTAGAAAAGGTGAGGAGAGTTTCTGTCTGCGTTGTAGTGGGAGCAGAGTAGTTGCTCTGATGAGGGGACTGGTGTAGAGCATCGAGAGTGGAGTTTACGAGTGGATGCTAGCAAGGAAGGCTCCTTGACCTGCAGGGAGCCGGTCCCTGTCACCTCACCTTTCCTCTTGATTAAATGGGACTGACATTGTACAGCTGCCTTCAGAATTACATAAAGTGCCCGGAAGCTCTTTGTAATAAAAATGCAATGTGCATAGAAGATAGCACTACTGATAAGTCACATACAGCATTAGCCTGGTTTACGTGCTATTCAGATGTGGAGCTTCCGTTAATTCCACTTCATATGCTGGAGGTGCAGAGTTGGCCTCCTGTCCTCTCTTTCCACAGCTCTGTTCAGCTTTTCTGTGTGAGGGGTGCTATCTCAGAGGCTGGGGCTGCCTGCAGGGCTCTGTCTTTGAAGAGCTTCGAGTCTGGGCTTCAGGACCATTTTCCTATTTCTTTTGGACTCTCTATAAATCAATTTATAATAACCATTATAGCTTCTAAACGTGCATTTTATATTTGTTTAAGTTACTGTTAGGCCAGAAAGCCTAGAGAAAAATCAGTAAAGTATGTTCAAAGAGTCTTTAATTTCCAGAAGTATATTGCCTTTTTTTTTTTTTTTTTTTTTTAAAAAAAGAATACTTCCTGAGTGCTTATTCTCAAGGTGTTTTAATGCTCAGTTGTGTGCTCTCCTCTTGCTATTTTCCCTGTAAACAGCCTCTGCTTTTCCGGTAACGTAACCGTGATGCAGTTTTATTTGGATGCACACACAGCAACTCTCCCCATTTGCTTTCTGCTTTCCAGCTGGCTTTGGCAATTATGTGCCTTTGCTGAACTCCTGGTCACATACAGTGGCCAACATTGTTTTTAATTTCATCAGCCAACTCTAGGGCCCCTTAGCTGTGACCCTAATATCAGTACACTGTGTTTTTGGCCTTTGTGTGTTGACCTTCCTCCCTTCTCAGCCGGTACCCTTAAGAGAGTGGGCAAGTTCTGTTATCCTCCTGTTCACTTTTGGATGGGCCACCCAGTCTAAGTTTTCAGTTAATTCCCTAGTTCACTTTTCAACATATTTCTTTTCTCATTTTCTTTCCTTTTTTCTCTTGTGCCACTGATAGTTATTCTATGTTTGATTTTCTCTTTCCTGAGTCACTCTAACTTGTTCCAACAGGAAATTGATAATTCTGAAATAATTTGTAATGGCTAGAAAGGAGAATGAAGTGTTTATGGTGGATGGAAAGTTTTGCCCTAAATGCAATCTCATTTTTGTGAAACAGGGTAGTATCTTTATGATTTGGGCATAGACTAGTACAGTAAAGAAATATATTAATGTTTCTTTTATTTTCCCTCATTTGAAAACAGAATTTAATGTAAAGAAGACCAAGTCTCACAAAGTGGAACTGGTGTCTGGGCAGTAGTTGGGTGTCCCCTAGGCTGGACACCCTCTTGGGCTCCGAGTTCGGCTTTTTAGAGCCGCAGCTGCTTTAGATCAGATTGATCAGATGAACTTTTGAGAGTTCACCAATAGATTCCTGCTCTCACTTTCTGCTACCTGATAATTTAACCACATGGACTTCATTATGTTCTTATTGCTCCTAAAAATTCCTGTAACCTTTGAAAATGTGTTTTGACTTGACCTAGAGAGAGGTAGAATTGTGGTCTGCGTCCACCAGCCTTCAAAAGTAGATGGAAGGGCTTCCCTGGTGGCGCAGTGGTTGAAAGTCCGCCTGCCAATGCAGGGGACATGGGTTCGTGCCCCTGTCCGGGAAGATCCCACATGCCGCGGAGCGGCTCGGCCCGTGAGCCATGGCCGCTGAGCCTGCGCGTCCGGAGCCTGTGCTCTGCAACGGGAGAGGCCGCAACAGTGAGAGGCCCGTGTACCGCAAAAAAAAAAAAAAAAAAAAAAAGTAGATGGAAGACCATGAGCACAGTCTCAGGGCTGTACTTCTCAGAGCTGTGGTGATGCCACACTGTACATGCTTTTCAGACTGAAGTGTTAGTGTTGGATACCTGTCGGAGGAATCGTTCCGTAAAGTAGAAAACAAACTGAATGAATCCTTTGATCTTGTGGGAAAGGATTCAGTTTGGGCAAGGACCTATAAATTAATAAAGTTTAGAGAGTATCATGTTTGAATCAGTGGACATATCATTTCTGCTTGTATTCACTGAGCTGGTACAAAAATTAATAATATTAAATCAACTGCCACTGATAGAACGTTTCCCATGTACTAGGTATAGTTTTAATTCTCTACATGAATTATTCCATTTTTTTCTACAACAACTTTTTTGAGATAGGTGGTATAATACCCATGTTAGAGACAAGGACATGAGGAACAGAGGTCAAGTCGTTTGCTAGAGAGTGTGGAGCCCACGTGTCTGAGGTCCAAGGACATTATCTTAAGCTCCTAAAGGGCATAATGATTAACTAACAAAATCTAATGTTATGTAACCACTCATCGATTTGTCTGGGTCCGTTATCCAGTAGGTAAGTTTTTCTTTCTTTTTTTTTTTTCTGACATTTTATTACAGAAAATTTCAAACATACCAAAAAGTTGAAAGAATCACACAGTGAACACTCACATACCCACAATCTGGGTAAAACCATTTTAAACGTTTTGTTATGTTTGCTTTCCCATATAGCTATCCATCTATTACTCCACCTTATTTTTGATGTTTTTCAGAGTAAGTTTCTGATACTAGTACTCTTGATCCCTAAACACTTCAGTATGCATATCATTAATTAGAATTTGGTATTTATTTACAATTTTTTGGAGATAACATTTACATATAGTAAGTTGCACAAATCTTGAGTGTACCATTTGTTGAGTTTTGAGGATTTCGTATATTTAGGTAACCCAGACCCGTATCAAGGTATAGAACATCTCCATCATGCCAGAAAGTACCCCCATACCCCGTCAGTCCTCACTCCCTCCCTCCCCCAGGCAACCACTGTTTTGATTTTTTTTCCTACCACAGATTAGTTTTGCCTGTTTTAGAACTTTCTATAAATGGAATCATACAGTATGTTCTCTTTTAGTTCTGGCTTCTTTTGCTTAGCATAATGTTTTTGATATTCGTCCTTTTTGCTTCATAAATCAGTAATTAGTTCCTTTTTATTCCATTGTGTCAATAACACAGTTTGTTTCTCCATTCTCCTTTTGATGGGCACCTTAGCTATTTCTAGGTGCTGGTTATTCTGAATAAGGCTGATGGTGGATACATTGTGACACTACTGGATGGTGGGTTCTGAACTGAGAACTTCATAGTAGCTTCAGAATTTAAAACTTGGCTCCAAACGTTCATGCTTAGAGTTTACCCATCTGTCTTGGGATCGGCAATGTGAGGACTGCAGTACAAATTCACTCTAGAGCCCCACGCTAGAAACTTATCCAAGAACCAGCATCATCTTCAAAGGAGAAACTTCTAGATGCTTAGTTTAAAATAAACAAGGAGTGTGTGTCTAAACGTGAATTATTTTCTAAATGTGAATTATTTTCAGACTGCATTTGAATTACAGTGATAGACATAGAAAAGAACCTTTTTAGGTGGTAGAGGAGAGCAGAAGCAGCATTGAATTAAGTATATAGAGATTCGTATGGCCTGGTTTATAAAAAGAAAAACACAAGTGCAGTTTTTGTTCTTTCTATGTAGGATCTACTACGTTCTACCAGTCTTTTAGCCGGTATTTTCTGTATATATCAGAACAGTTAAAAGTGCTTCTTTTTTAGGAAAACTTTGGTTATGAGTTTGAAAGCAGGTCTACAGTTTCTTAACTTCGTGAGTGAGCTGGTATTGAGTCAAATGCAGGCCCCTGAGGGTTCTTTGTGGGTAATTCCCTTTCCTCTAGAGGCTGACTCCAGTCTGAATAGGCTCTTACTCTTGGTAAATGATTGCACAGGACCAAACTGCAACTAGTAAGGCATCCACCCATGCTACATGACTTAGTCAGTATTTGTTGAGTGACTGCCAGAGCCTGTGCTCATCCCTGTTCTTCTCAACACCTGCACAATGTTAACTTGGCCAAAGCTGGAGGTGGTATGAAGGCATTTATTGTATTAATCTGCACATTTTTCTGTATGCTTGACATATGTAACAACAACAAAGAATAGTTGGTGTTTAGAGTAATGGAGGATGTGGTTGAGTATTTTTCTAACAAAGTCATCATCTAGCAGAAGGCATTCAGGTAAGAATCCATAGAAGAAACAATTTAATCTAGAGTAGAGGTTTTTTTGTATTTTTTTAAGCATACCTCTTTGTTAATAAGTAACATTAAACTTCATTTTGTGATTGGCAAACAAACTTTTATGTTGTCAGTTTCATGTTCCCATCAGTTAAGGGAGAGACTTGGTTGCAGAGGAGAATGAATGGGATGATGGAAACAATAGGTGGGAGAGAAGAAAAAGACAGGATTCTGTAGAAGGGGATGAAGGGATTAGTGTAGGCAGAGAGGATGGATTCTTCAGTTGATTAGATTTATTTTGTCTCACCCTCTGAAATGCCCCCAAAAGTAAGTTGTTACTTTACTTTGAAAAGCTAATCATAGCTACCTTTGTACCAGAAGCTGTGCCCAATGTTTTACATGCTTTATGTGTTTTAATCTCACAACATAGCACTATGGTTAGATCATGAGGTTGATCTCAACTTACAGAAGACGAAATTGTGGCTCAGAGAAAGTAAGAAACTTGCTCAAGGCCACAGCTAGTGAATGACATGTCTGATCCAGCCGCAGAGCCCAAGCTCTAAACTGCTTTGTTAACTGATTAGTTTCTAAGCACTTTCCTTATTTTGTTTGGAGTAGGCAAAGCAACTCTTTGAGGCAAAATTATTTCCTGGACTTGCAGTCATGTCACCAAGGAGCAGATGAGAAGAGGTCACAGAAAAAATGACCTGAGGTCAAAAAGATGCATTCTAGAGATTTTTCGGTCCTTTAAAAAGGAAGGAAAGAAGGAGGGAAGGAAGATCTAAGTGACTTAATTTTCCATTGTTTCACTTTCTAGGCATCACAGATTGCAGCAGAGAATATTGGAAGTGAATTACCATCTAGTGCCACTCGATTTAGGCTAGATATGCTGAAAAACAAAGCGAAGAGATCTTTAACGGAGTCTTTAGAAAGTATTTTGTCCCGGGTAAGTGGCATAATTCCTCCTAGTTTAAGTTAAATCACTGTTTTTGAGAGAGCATGAAATTCAGTTCTTTGCTTTTGTTCCATCAGTGTTCATCATACAGTTTAGAAGGGTGAGACCTTTTTTGGTGTCTTCTCAGTGTTAGAAAAATGTTATCTACACTGAAAATTCAGTTTTTAACTTGGTCCGGGTTAAAAAGTGTTCTCTACTCTTTTGTATTGTATGGAATTTTTGTCTCCCAAAAGAATGTTATTTGTTGGCCAGTCCCTGGAAAGAGCATGGATTAGATACACCAAGGTGTGGGTTCCATTCTCCCTAGTGTCACTAGGTACAGTTTAAAAATTGTTATCGTGGGACTTCCCTAGTGGCGCAGTGGTTAAGAATCTGCCTGCCAGTACAGGGGACATGGGTTCGAGCCCTGGTCCGGGAAGATCCCACATGCCGGGGAGCAACTAATAAGCCCGTGCGCCACAACTACTGAGCCTGCGCTCTAGAGCCTGCGAACCACAACGACTGAGGTGGCGAGCCACAACTACTGAAGCCCACACGCCTAGAGCCTGTACTCCCCAACAAGAGAAGCCACTGCAATGAGAAACCTGAGCACCGCAATGAAGAGTAGCCCCCGCTCGCCGCAACTAGAGAAAGCCTGTGTGCAGCAACGAAGACCCAGTGCAGCCAAAAATAAAATACATACATAAATAAATAAATTTAAATAAATAAATAAATAAAAATTCTGATTACATTATAAAAAAATTTTTATCATTAGCTGCTATTGTTATGTGTCTGAAACTGTTTATAGCAGGATCTGCAAACTGTGGTCCTTGGGTCAAATACCATTCACCTCCTGTTTTTGTAAATAGAGTTTTATTGAAACACAGCCACATCAGTTCATTCACCTATTGTCTAAGGCTGCTTTTCTGCAGAGTTGAGTACTTGCCACGGATACCATATGGTCCACAAAGCATAAAAGATTTATTATCTGGCCCTTTACGGAAAAAGTTTGTGGCCTGCAGCTCTATAGGAAGAACAGAGTATACGTATGTACTGATCTGGGAGTTCTTTAAGAAATTACTACCAACCCCTGATCCCCGCCCCGCCCCACGCCAACCCCAGGGTGAGTGTAAATACCTTTTACACTAAGAAATGAAAGTTCTCTTTTCTCTCAAAGTTTCACACCTTTCTGGAGCTTGCAGTATCTTCTTATAGTTATCTTTTATTTCATGAACCACTCCATTTTTTGTGTGTGATAAATTTTATTTTGTATGGAGGTGTTTCTGAGAATTTCACAGCAGCCTTAAAAGGAGTTCATTTACAAAACCAGAGTTGGGGTGGGGCTGCCTTTGAGAGCTCCCAGACCGAGAGATTGTGGTTTGTGTGTCATAGGCTGGTGGGTCATGACACTGTGTGACTCAGAGGGGGGACTCTGTTGTTGAGTGTGCGCACCTCAGCGCTTGCTTTTCTTCTAGACGTGTTGTCTCTTCTGCCCATCATCCCTGCCAAATGACTAACCCACAAGGTGCTTTGGAACATTTAGTTTGGTTTAAAAAAAAAAAAAAAGACAAATGTTGATTGTCTTCATGCACATATGTGCTCAGCAGAGTTTCCCAGTAGATGCATTTTTCCTGAACTTATTTAAATAGACCAGGTTGCTTCTAGCAGATGCCTTTGCAAAAGCCTCAGGGGTCATAACTCGACTGCTTTTCTTTCCGTAGGGTAATAAAGCCAGAGGCCTCCAGGAGCACTCCGCCAGTCTGGATCTGGACAGCTCCGTGTCTAGCACATTAAGTAACACCAGCAAAGTAAGCACGTTTTTTTTTTATATGACACCCTGAAGAAACCAGCAAATGGGTCTTGCTCATCTCCTATATACTGGGCCTATCAAAAGGAACAAAAGAAGCCTCATAGCTCCAATCATGAGAAATTTGGTGCTTCTGGACTTGATAATGCAGGAGGAGGACTGGTTGTGCAGTCCTACTCTAGCCAAAAAGTTGTACATACCAAAACAGAGGGCTATTCCATAAGCAAAGAGGAAAAAGCACAATTTCAGGCCACTGAGATCTAATTAATCACAAGTGATCAATGGATTTCTTTCTTTAGTAGGTTTTCCAGTGATGTCTAAATGAAATATTAAAAATAATTGGGAAAACCTCAAACGTGGGTTTACGAATTATGAGAAGTATGCAACTTAAATTCCTGAAACTTACTCTGTCCTCTGCCTGACTCTATGATTATAATTAAACATCACTATTTTTATAGATAAACCTCACCCCTCGTGTCTGCCACCAGCACAGCTTTGTGATAGTGAGCAAGCCAGCAGTTCTCTTTGGTAGCAGACCTGTGTCTATGTCCTTGTTTTAATTTCTCGCTTTCTAAATATATAAGCATACTTAAACCTAGTTAGTTCAACTTTTTACCCACCAGAAAAGTGGATTTCGGGTTTTGTGCTGGGGATGTCAGAATGCCCTGGGATGGAAAGAGGGGGAGTTGTTGTGGAAGCCAGCTCCTTACCACAGGAATCAAAGTTCTTCTGTGCTTCCTCCTGGGCATGTGGCTTTCAAAGGTTTTAGACCATAACCAACAGTAATTTACACATTTAACATTGCAAACTAGTTCAGAAACACACATACCTACATGCTCACAGATAAAATGAAAATAAGATTTCACAAAATGATATTTACTGTAAACATGTGATACATACTGGTATTTGCTATTGCTTTAAAAAGTTTGTGGCAGACCACGAAATTGATATCACTGCCTACCAATGTGTTACAGCGTATAGTTTGAGAAACACTGCCTCAGTTGAGCGCTTTCTCAATTTCTAAGGTGCATCTTTAATGGGATCTGGTTAAAATGCAGATTCTGATTCAGTAGGCCTGGGGTGATTCCTGAAATGGCCAATTTCTGACAAGCTCCAAGGTGATGTTGATGCCACTGGTCTGTGGACCCACTTAGGGGAGCAAGTCCCTAGACCCCAGTCTTCTGAATATGATTTTATTTTTTTGGAGGGTGGTCGTCTGTGCTCTGTGGCTTGCGGGATCTTAGTTCCCTAACCAGGGATTGAACCCACGCCCTAGGCAGTGGAAGTGTGGAGTCCTAACCACTGGACCACCAGGGAATGCCCTGAATATGATCTTCTAAGTTAGAATCTAGTGGTCTATTTAAATTCATCTCCTCCATACTGATTCTACCCACAATTCATTTGAAGTTTGGAAATGTTTTGGGTTTTTTTTATCTGTTGGATACAGATGAAAAAGACAGCTTCTACCCTGCAGGAAGGAACTCATGTGGTAGGAGAGGCGACAAGATACACCAGCATCGAGTACAGTAGCTGTGAGCCTGAGTTCAAATAAGAGCCATGGTAGCTTAGCTGTCACAGGAGCAAGAGGAAGGGGAGCTATTTTTGGTCAGTGGAACCAGAGAAAGCTTGGAGAGGGGAGCAGTAGTGCTTTTGATAAATCTTGGAGAAAGTATAGGAATTGCACCCGTGGAAGTGGACAGGGAAGAGGGCGTTCGAGATTAGTTCCAGTAAAGGTGCTGTGAAGAAATTCATGTCACTCAAGTGACTTTTCCAGTAAGTCTTATTGCTTGTTTTTTATTCTTCTTCAAATCACAGATCTAGGAATATACACATGGTTTGAATTTCTAGGGTAATTCTAAGGGAAATGCAGCTTTTCAGAACCTATTTGTGTGTATTATGTGTGTGGCTCTATGTTATTCTTTATGTCGTTTGTTCATCCTGACGTTGAGAAACTGTTGTTAAAAGTGTGCTTTTATGTAATTGGATCTCTTCCAGTAAATTGATCGTCTGGAAGCAAAGAAGCTGAACATCCAGTGGCCCTTTCAGGTGTTAGATGAAGCTGAGGGTTAGCTCTTCCACATAATTTGGAAGGACGTTAATGAGAGTTGAGATGAATAGGTTTGCGTGATGGAGATTGCTTGATGAATTGTCTTAAACACATTTTTAAATCCTTAAATTAAAAGAATCTTGGTAACTGTAGAGTCCTGAAGAATGAAAAATTTAAGTTACTGTTTAACATTTCATAATGTGTTGGGAATTAAGCTTTTAAAATCTAATTCCTACAAAATTAAGTGTATATAACCTTTCTCCTCAATAAACATAAATTTAATTTTTTTAATTAAAATCCTTAATACCTATCATCTAAGAGACACTCAACTGCAGGTCAAATGAACAGGTGGAATTTAGATTTTCCAGTCCACCATTATTAGATGCAGTCATTCCTTTTTGCTCTTTTCATGTTGATTTATTCATCCCTTCTAGTAATTTCAGCAGGGACAAGCTGGTACACTTTTTTTTTTTATTATTTTTATATATTTATATATATTTATTTTTATTTTTTTTTATTTTTTTTTTTTTTTTTTTTTTTTTTTTTAATACAGCAGGTTCTTATTAGTCATCAGTGTTTTACACATCAGTTATTTTATATTTTTTGATTTGAGAAAAATATATTGGCCCCTACCACGTCCTGGGCATGCAGTGCTAAGCATGAGTGGTGGTAGTTCATTCCTTTGAAAAAGTATGCATCTTGAGAGCCTACGATATTAAAATATTGTCATGATTCTTAACAAATGTTTGAGTACCCACTCAGGAAATTCACTGAGTGCCTAATAAGACAATAACTTATATTTATACAACATGTAACAGCAGACAAGTACTTTTAGTTGTATTATCTTGCTTAATTCTGAAACCTGGTGAGATAAATTTTCACTATACCCTTTTACAGATGAGGAAATTGAGGTGCAGAAAGAAGTTAAGTGATTTGCCCTGAATCATGTCAGTAAGTGCCTAGAGAGAGATTTTCCATATCTAAGAATAATATAGGATGTAATTTTTAACACTCAAGATTACCAAGTTAAATCCAAACATTAGATCACATTCAGAGAGAGCCATAAAATGTGGGTATCACATGTATGAACACACTTGGCCAAGATAAAGAACTTGATTTGTTTAAACTGTGCAGACAAGTTACACGGCACTCGCTATACTTGTTATAGGCAGTAGTAAAGAGCTCTCTTTTCTAGAAAGAGAACTATTTCAGCTTTGCTTAGGGCAGTTACTTGTTATAATTTATGTCCTTCACACTTGCACTTGGACAGTTTCCCCATTTGTCCTGCACGCTAACGTTTTGTCTCGGAGGAGCAGGCATTTAGTGGGCCTTTATCGTCTTATACTTTTGGTGGCCTCTAGAGGGCACTGTGATCAGAAGATGTGCCTACATTTTGAAATGTTTTCCTGCCACTGGAATTAGAGATGTGTAAATCCCACAAGTGCCTTGCCATGTGTCTGATCTGTGTCTGTCTGCTGCCAGGAGCCGTCTGTGTGTGAAAAGGAGGCCTTTCCCATCTCTGAGAGCTCCTTCAGACTCCTGGGCTCTTCGGATGACCTGTCCAGTGACTCAGAGAGCCACGCCGCAGAAGAGCCAGCCCTGCTGTCACCCCAGCAGGGCTTCAGGAGGCGCGCCAACACTCTGAGTCACGTCCCCGTGGAATGCCAGCAGCCTCTGCAGCAGGCACAGGGATCTCCAGGGGTCTCGCAAAGGAAACTTGTGAGGTATCACTCAGTGAGCACAGAGACGCCTCATGAACGAAAGTAAGATTTGTTGAAAATGTAGATTTGTTGTATAAATGGCTGGGGCATATCTGTTACTAACCAGGTATGTGCATCCCAGGCATGTCTGTTGGGTGAAAAGAGAAACCTGAGTCAGGTTTCACTCTTGGCTTAAAAGGTAAAACTCGAAGCAATGTGTTCCTCCCGTCTTCCTCCCTTGGGAAATACGTAGTTGTAAGAGATACTTGTTACCTGTTCAAGTGCAAGTACGGTGAGGAAGCAGGTAAGACGAGCAGAAATGGCCCTTAAGATGCAGAATGGTCCCTCCTCACACAGTGAGAGGCAGCCCTGACCGTGAACTCTGCCGCTGGCCTGGAGGGAAGTAGTGAGTGAGCGGTCAGGTGAGTCTGCTCGTTTGGAGGCCCTGGCTAGAGGCGCAGTGATGCCGGGGCCTCTGTCCTAGCTCTGTCCCAAGCCGGCCATGACCCGGGCAAAGTTGCTTCACTTCACTGTATGACACAGTTGACATTGTATGACACAATAGGTGGTCTCTAAAATCTCCTCCAATGTGAGAGTTCTGGATTCTTCGAACAAGACTTACTAATTTTAATAATTGGGCTCTAGTGAGCAGTTGGGGTTTCCTGGCTATAGAGCTGGGGAAGCAGTACTAGTAGAAGCTTTCCTGCTTCCTTCTGGGGTCCCTTGGCAATTAATTTGACTCCGAGTGTCAGAGACCATGAATGGACACAGAGGTATGTTTAAAAATCACTTTAAAAATATTGTAAAACTCCTCACCTTAGAAGGCTGAAGTAGGCCACACCTGTGTGCAGCTGCTGCCTGATTTTGGTGACAACAGAAGCCAGGATGTGTGTCTCGGTGCAGGCCCTGCACAGATGAGGGAGAGTCCACACGGGGGTGGGTGTTGGAGGTGTTGCTGGTGAAGCAGTGACACGTGCTAGCCATCTCAGACGAGCTAGTAGAGCCGCTCAGCTCTGTTTTCTGTACGCCATTGAAAATAGTTATGATGGTTCTTTGGAATTTGGCTGGATAATTGTGATCCCAAAGCAGGACATGCTTCAGAAGCTAATGTTCAATTCTGTGATGTTTTGGAGACAAGCATAGTTTGTTTGAGGCTTTGTGGGTTCTTGTCATGTTTCTTAAAAGCCTGTGCGCACACTCCTTTTATTCTGCCTCTCCACTGGCTCCCACCCCTCTTTTTCTGGCACTTTAGTGATAATGGAACTTTTCCTGTCTGGAGATTTCTAGTCCTCTTGCTAATAAGCCCACTGTTTCACACAAGCCAGAGGTGGCAGGAAATGAGAAGTCCCTGACAGTCCATTTCCCTTCTCCCCTAAGAATGCAGCTTCCTAAAGGGTCCTGTGGGGCGTGGGTGATGAGGGGGCGCGGTACTGTCCCCCCTCCTCCTCCGTCCCCCAGCATGCCTCTTTGGCTTTGCTCCCCCCTCATGAACTCTGCTCACTTATGCACAGGAAATGAGACTTGGACATTCAAGGCAGGTTATTGTTCATTTTGACGAGAGATGTATTTCTAAAACTCTGGATTTTGTTTTGCTTTCCTTTGCTTTTGTTTTAATTAAAAAAAATTTTCCCCCCGTCAGATCCTAAAAAAGGGGTAGAGGAAACGGGTCTCTTGCGCACATAGGCATGTGGGAAGTGATCAAGAGGGACCTTGCACGGTGCCCTCTTGACTGAGAGCTGCCTTTGCCAGCAGGAATTGGGGCGCAGAAGAGGAGAGCAGTTAGAGGAGACTCCACAGTTAGAGGAGACCCTCTAACTGTGACAGTTCCTGTTTCCTCCGTGTGTCCTCTGCGTTTCCTGCGCGGTTCCGTCCCCGCCTTTAACTCCCCTGCTTTCTCTCTAATTGCTATTTAGTGGGAATCGTCCCCCTGTCGGCGAGTCTGAAGGTGGCTCAGGTCAGTCCTCAGCTGCTCCTCCACCTCGTCTTACCCCCTCCGCCTCCTCGCCCAATTTCTTTAAGTACCTCAAACATAACCCAAGTGGAGAACAGAGTGGCAATGCCGTGCCAAAGAGGTGAGCCACCCGCATGGCAAGTTCAGTGTCGTTCGTCTTCCTGGGATGCTCACGCAGAGAGAGTGTGCTGAATGTCCACACAAGGACCCCGGGGCCACCGCTTGTGTGTGTGTGTGTGTGCGTGTGTGTGTGTGTGTGTGTGCTTGTCTGGTTTTGGTTTTCCTATTTTCAGTCTATCATTTGAATCTACTTAATTTTACTGTTGATTAATTCCCTCAAAATTATTATGAAAACAGTCTTGATGGCAAATTATTTTTTATATACTTATTTTCACATTCCCCTGCCCTAGTGTACACACACACACACACACACACACACACACACGTTAACAGCAATGTGCTTGATCATATACATTGCGATTTGTGCCATATCAGAAACTTCCTCATTAATTTAGGAAAATTATTTTTCTACTTTGGAAGGAAGGAGTCATTTTGGATGATGGACTGAATTTTTTATTGTTGTGGTTTTGTTTTTATTTTGGTCAGAACGCTTTACATGAGATCTACCCTCTTAACACATTTTTTGCGTGTTCATGGTATTACTAACTATGGGCAGAGTGTTGTAACTGTAGGCACAATGGTGCACAGCACATCTTTAGAATTTATTCATCTTATGTAACTAGACTGATATTTGTGAATTAGTTCATTGATTCCATTCATTTAAAATAATAGAATTTTATTGACTGAAATGAAAGTTAAATCTCATTTGTAAACTATTTTTGATTTCTTACCCGCTTTAATTTTCTTAGCCTTAGAACTATAAAATGTTTCTTCTGTTTTGAAGGTTATGTTTTATACTTTGTGTGTTTGTGTTTCTTTATCCTAAACTCTTTTTTTCAACCACACTCTCAGCATCTCCTACCGTAATGCCCTGCGGAAAAAACTTCATTCTTCTTCCTCTGTGCCAAATTTTCTAAAATTTCTGGCTCCTGTAGATGAAAATAACACCTCTGACTTTATGAACACAAAAAGGTAGAGTTTAATTTAGATATATCAAGTCTGGGTAGAAATGTTGATTGTTAGACATATAGGGATTTTTCATCTGTACTTTTACCATTTAAAAAATCATTTTCGCTAGATCTATTGTGTCTTCTTTCTTATAATTTTTCTTACTGATGATGTGATTTAAAAAAATGTGGAGTCAACCTGTTATCCAGTTTTGACTAGGATTGGTTTATTAATACATGGTTATTTTCAGCAAATTAAAGAAAGTCTTAACCGTTGTCTCTAAATGATAGAAGTGTTTCTGGATAATGAGCATATATGGCTGCCAGTAAATCAGTCAGGATGTTTGATCTCCAAGTTCAGATGATTGTTCAGTTGTTGGTATATATTCAGGTGTAAGTTACAAGGGGTTCCCCAAGTTGTCCCGTGAATAGAAAGGAAATTAGTGATTGTGTTTATGTATATTGAAAACTATATTTTGCAGTTTAAAACATACAGATGGTAAAAGTCATTATTAGCAAGTGACTGCATAATTATTGCCCTTGCTGGTTCTGTGTAATTTAACGTTTTTCATTTTTTTTGTGTGTGTGTGATGATCCTTGGAGACGCAGGCCTATGCTAAGAAAATCTCCCCTCACACAGACTAGGGGAGATTGTGGCCTGGGTGACAGCGCCCCCTTTAGGCCATCTCTCTTTTCTGAAGTGGCACCAAGAGAGGCCCAATTGGAAGCCAAGATCCATGGAGTGTAGTTCTTAATATCTTTTACCATAAAAATAAATTAAGGACATGTACCCTGACTCTTTCCATAAAAAGCACCCTGTCAGAAAGCAGTCCTGTGGGAGTGTTGCCCCACTGTGAGTTTGATTTGATGCCTGTGATTATCTAGTTATGTTTGCTGGTACAAAGATAATTTATAATTTAGTGCTCTGTTTAAAAAACAAAAAAAAGTCAAGCTAAAATACCTGCTTACATCTCCTCACCAGTCATAAATCAATTGTCTTCTAATTTTAGGGACTTTGAGTCCAAAGCCAGCCATCTTGGTGACGCCAGCGGGACCCCCGTAAAGACACGGAGACACTCGTGGAGGCAGCAGATCTTCCTTCGAGTGGCCACCCCACAGAAAGCCTGCGATTCTCCCGGCAGACACGAAGGTAAGGCCCACCCTCAACGTAAAGCTAGATCCTGGCTCGAGTTTCATCTGTAGCAAAAGCACATTTGGTGGAAGAAGAGGTGAAGTGAGATCTCAAGTCAGAATCATCCCCTGATTTTAAAGTTCCCTGGTTGAGAAGCTCAAATGGCAATGCCTATCACTGTTTCCAGCGGATCTGTTTTCCCTGTCTGCAACTGAAGTGTAGGTTTCCACCCTACCTCAGCATGGTGTGGTTTTAGAGGTACCTCTATCCCACTGGTCACACCTGTGATGATCTGTGCCTTGTCATTTGCTGTCACTCAATCTGGTGTCACAGGAGGACTCTCTCTCATCCTTCTTGTGTCCCCTAAAGAAATACAGGCAGACCTCAGAGATATTACGGGTTAGGGTTCCAGACCAGCACAATAAGAAGAGTATTGCAATAAGGCGAATCACACAAATGTTGTCATTTCCCAGTGCACACATAAAAGTTATGTTTACCCTATAGCGTAGACACTATAATGTAGTCTTTTAAGTGCGCAATAGCATTATGTCTAAAAGAGACATACATACCTTACCTAAAAATACCTTGATTGCTAAAAAATGCTAACTATCATCTGACAATTCAGGGTTGCCACAGACATTCAGTTTCTAAAAAATGCAGTGTCTGTGAAGTACAGTAGAGCTAATAAGCACAATAAAACAAGGTATGCCTGTATAGGACGTGCTAAAGTTGATCTTTAGGCCTTTGTATGTTGAGTTATAATGTAAAAGAGAGTTTAAATGCAGTTCCTCGGAGTAAAATTAAGATTTTTCTCTGCCCAGTGATATAAACTTTCAACAGTAGATATTTATTTTCCTTAGTGTTCCTTAATCAGAAAACATTTTTCCCTTATAAAAGCACAGCAAAACAGACCTCCAAAGATGACTTGAATTCCTCAGATTGCAAGACTGCATGTAGTGGAGACTCACTTTTGTCCCTCGACACCCTTCTTCATGTCTCTTAGGAAGCAGCCAAGGCTAACCCAAGAGTGTTCAGACTAGGTTCCCTGCAGCTGTCTTGGGGGAGGAGGTGCTGTTGGAGGAACCCTCCCTTCCTGCTCCCCTCCCCCCATTGTTGTTTCTTCTCTCTCCCTCCCCGCCTCTCTCCCCCAGAGTTCTTAATATTTGATTTGGATAATGAGTCCTCTGCCAAATTAAACAAGAGTCTGGTTTGGGCTCAGCTCGCTTTGTGATACAAATCATAGAACTTCATTTGTACTTAGTGCCTTTGGTTATAAAATGGTTACAGTAGTGTTGGCTCTTCACATCTCATGGAATCACATTAAATGGTAAATGTGAAAGTGCTCTGGAAACCTAAAGACGTATCACGTGTCAAGTGGTAACATTTTTGTTACTGTTATTGCGTTTGCAGCAGTGGTGTGTTTAGCTTCCTATACCAGTGTTCCCTAGCAGGAGCAATGTAAAGGAGTGCTGGCTTTATTCATTCAGGGTGATTAAAAAATTTTTTTAGTAAATTGAGTTATTTCAGTTTGTATCATTTTAGACACTTTTGTTTTAAAGATTTCATTTTCATGTTGTAGATTGCCTACTAATGTCCAACAGCCAGATGGTGTAACCTAGTTCCCTCCTTTTTAAACTTGTAAAATTCTAAGCCAAAGGGGTTGCTGCAGTAGTGGCTGTAGAAAAGAGCAGGCTCGTAGAATGCACAGCTCCCGGTTGGAGCTCTGGCCTCTGAGGAGGTGGCTGGTGTCTACAGGCCCCACCCTGGTGCCACTCTTTTCCCATACTTCCTGGAAGTACAGTGAGTTTCTAGACGGGACCCTCACTGGTATCTCCTGGTCGGCGTCTGGGGCACCTGAGTCAGAAGATTAGTCGGTGCTGGCAAATGCTCGATTCTCTGGAGAACCCCAGGATAAAATAGGCAAGGAGATGGCACTGTGGGCAGCGTGAGACAGTGTGATCTTGTGTCACCCCAGCAGGTAGAAAGGGAATGGGGAAGAACGCCATAGTTTGTGTCTGAATTCTCTTTTTAAAAGTTAAGCAGAAAACTTCTCTTTTTAATTGGTTTAGTCTGGGAGTATTGTAAGAAATGGATATTTAACTCCATGTTGCATTGTTATTGATAATGTTTGCCGTGGACAGGGTTCTTTGGTGAATCCTGGGCCCTCGGACCCAGCTGGGCAGAAGTTTGCAGGGAATGAGATGGGATAAGTCGTTATTGCCCCAGAGGTCAGAGCACTGAGCAGATCCGTCCAGTACCCTGCGGGCCGGGCGGCATGGTCTCCAGGGAACTGGGAACCCAGGACTTGGTGGGTCCATCTCCCCTGCCGGAAATGGTACTAAAAGTAGTGCCCCAATGTCTGCCTGACAGGCCCCCCAGGATCACCTGCTTGTTTGTAGGAAAGCAGAGAGCTGACCTCTTCATCGTGGTCTGAGGTGGTCATGAAGATGAACTTAGGGAAAGAATTTAGAGCTCATTCAGGGAAACCTCCTCTGAAAGCAGGAGCGGAGTGCCTGCATCCAAATCCCAGCTTTTCCCCTCAGGAGCCGTGATCTGGAACCAGCTCTCTAATTTCTCACCTATGATATAGGGTTAATTATGCCTCTTGCCACACTGATTGAGATAGGGGAGCGTGATGTTTTTATTGGCTTTTTTTTTAAGAATTGAAGAATTCACAAGATTAGAAAGACTTATCAGTGGTGCACACGTTTCTGGTATCAAGTCACCTTCCCCGTGTGGAAATCCTGGTGCTCCCGCCGGAAGCTTCTCTGGCCTCGGCCCCACTGCAGGGGGTTGCCGTGGAGCCGCTGGCCCGCGCCGTCCTGCCGCTGGAGCCCCGGAGGAGCTGCTGTGCTGATTGGCTGGGGTTTTGATTCTCTGGCGGCCAGTGTGAGCCATGGCCATGCCTGGAATGTTCTTCCACTGATAGAACCATGACTAAGTCCCTCACCTGCTTCAGATTATTGTTGAAAATCACCTTTTCACTGAAGCTGCACTGGCCGCTGTATTTCAAGTGGCACCCCACCCCATCAGACATTCCTAATCTTATCCTGATTTTTCCCATAGCATTTATCTCTTTGAAACATACTCTAGTTATTTACTTATTCATTATCTCTATCACCAGGTTCCCCAGTCCACAGGCTATATGACTTTTAAGGGAAGGCAAGTAAATTGCTCAGATTCTTACAAGCTTAATATTTGGTCCTTAGTGATTTCTCAACTCCCTCCTCCTTCCTCTTCTTCCTGCTTATGTCCTTTCTGCTCTTACTTCAGAAATGCTGCCTGAATTTTTAAATTATGTGGTAGGTACTCTGCGTATGAAAGAGAGGTAAGAGAAAATAAAAGCATTTACAACTCTGAATTGGTATAATAATAATAACTTATGCCCCTTTTTTTGCCAAGAGCTTTACATGAGTTATTTCCTTTAATCCCCAGTCAACCTTAAGAAGGTCGACATTTTTATTACACCAGTTTCACAGATGAGGGAGCAGAGGCTTGGAGTGGCTGAATTCACTTTCCCCAAACCACAGAGCTGGGCGGCAGGACCAGAGGTCGTGGGTCTGTGCCCTGCAGTTCCTGGTGAACTGCACATAGGCCCTGCGGGCCTGCTCCCTCCTCTGGAGCCTCCCTTGTCGGGCGTTTGTTCTCAGTCTATTCCTGTGTCCCCTTGCCAGCCAGGCAGCAACACGTTTCAGAGCATTTTAACATGTGGACTTGCCTTCAGTTAATCGTACCCCTCCCTGCATGTTAGCACTGGGACTGGAGTGTGCCAGGGAGGGAGGTTGATTTCTTAACATCTGTCTAAATTTTCTCCTCCCAAATCAGACATCTTCATTCTCTGCCGCTGTTTGCTTCCCATCCTTAGGGCGCAGAGAGCAGCACCTTCCACAGTGGTCTGGGACCACTTGGACCAACATGCTTTCTGCATGTTCCCCTCCAGCTGTGAGACCTCCAGATCCTCAGGCAGCTGAGGGTCCCAGAGGTCCCTGCGTCAGCCAGGCTGTCCCAGGCAGAGAGCGTGCTGCTAGAGGCGCCTCTAGGCCTCTTTGCGGCTCTGCCTCAGGGGTGGGACCCATGGGCCCAGATGTCTGCAACCGGTGGCATGAGGGACTTGTAAGTCTCCTTGTAAGGAACACTTTAGCAGTTCCTTTAAAAGTTTCAGGAACTTTAAACTGTTCCAGGTACTCAGAGTGGCTCTTGTGGCTCTTTTGCATTTGTATTCTGGCACTGCAAACGTCAGTGAAACAGGTCTAACCTTTCTTCAAGGGAAAAAAGTGAGACAGGGATATTTGTACTGTCCCATCCATTTCATCCTCTTTGGAAAAAACTAATAAAGGAAACTAGAAATTTAAAAACCATGGTGTTTGCAGAGCTGTAAGGGTACAAGGGAAGGAGAAATAGAATTTTCTGTAATTTTGGGGTTCTGGTTTTCATAGATGGGCTAAATTCTAGAGAGAAACGTGTTAGTGAGTAGGGAGTGTGACTCCAGTTAAGTATAGTGTGAAAGAGAGGAAAGTCCAAAGCCAGGCAGTGTGGACAGAAATGGAGAGATTAGACTGCACAGATACTGTCTCAAAGTCAGCTTGTCCCTTCCTCAGGGGTTTGTGGCTTTCTCTGTGCACAATTCCTGTGAAATAATTGAGCTGTAAGAATCTGAATTTCATGTTTTGGAGACCTAACTGGTAGGCAGTTAATTTCCATTAGAAATTTACTTACAAATGTTTAGTAGAACAAGCGCAAACATTCCCAAATCCCAGGCTGGTTTGTTTGTTTGTTTGTTTTTAACTCAACAGAGACCAGTTGGCCTCTTCTAGGGATTCCCACTTGAAGTTAGTTTACCAGAGTCTAGCAGGGTGGTTTCCATTGTGACCCTTGGAGAAAGGCGGGTGTCTGCTTCTCAGCTGGTAGGTCAGGTGTACAGCATCGCCGCATCACTGGGGAACTCTGTGATCAATAGGGCAACCACCAGTTTGTGCTTGGAGACTTGGCAAGGCAAGTTTATTTTTGTGATAAAACAA